CGGGCGGTTGCGGGTCGGCCCTGGGGAAGCTTTTTGCACTCGTTGCAAACAGTTGGGTGGGCGGGCCTCCTCTTTTGCTTGCTGGCGCTGGTTTTTGTAGGAATAAAAGCATAACAGCCATTCCTCGCTGTTAGGAGATGCGCCGCTAGGATAATAGCCGTAATGCGATAATGACATAATAATACATAATCGCAATTAGGAGATGCACAGGCAATAATAAATAGAATAATAAAGATGTGATAATGGATAGTCGCTGTTAGGAGGTGCACAGCTACAATAATAGATATAATTATGATTGTATAAAAATAAATACCGTGATCGCTATTAGGAAAGGATTGCAGAGTTTTCCGTTTGGCGATAAGTTCCTGGCCCTTCAGAGGTCGGATTCCAGTTCCCATCTGCCCAGGCACATGGCAAGAGTGGATGGGACTTGTAGTCCAAAAAGCCCCACTTCTCTCTCTCTCTGCCTGGCATATTTTCCTGGCATATTTTTTTATACCCAGAGTTGATCCCAGATTTTGCAGGGGGGGAGAGACTGGGGCACTCCCCCGGCTGCAAAAAAAAAAAATGGCATGGGCTCGCGAAGAAAATTCTTTAATTTTTGCAGAGACGTTCCTAAATAGACTGGGCTGGGCACCTCCTTGCCAATCTCAGCTGGTGAGACAATCTGCGCTGTCTTCTCTCTCCTCCGGCCGCAGGATCATGACAAAGCTGCTTCAGTGGCTTGGATCTTTGGCCCTCCTGGGTGGCATCTGGGCTGCTCTGATGCTGGACCTTGTGGGGCTCCACGCCTTCTCCCCAAGCTGGTACCAGGTGCTGTGGGCCCTGCCGACATACCTGCTGGTGACGCTGGGCTGTTACTCGCTGGGAGTCGTCGGCTACCGCTTGGCCACCTTCAACGACTGCCAGGCGGCATCGCTCGAGCTGCAGGCGCAAATCCGAGAGGCCCGAGCCGACCTTGCCCGGCGCGGCATGAAGTTTTGATCCAGGGCCTTTGCGGGAACAGAAGTGACGTGGGGACGATAAACAACGGATGGCCGATTATTGAACGCTTTGGGGTGGGGACCGACTGGGGAATCCATTCCAGGGAAAAAGAAGAGAGCTGCTGTTTTTTTCCCAAATAATTTTTATTAAAAATGTTAAACAGGAATACCAAATCAGATTAAGTGAAAAAAGAAAAATAAAGAGAAGAAACATGGAAAGAAAAAATAGAAAGTGCAGAAAATGGGGGGAGGGGGGAGAAAAGAAAGATTTTTTTTTTTTAAGGAAGTGACCCCTGATCGTCTTTCCCAGTTACAGCCTTAATATCCCTCCTTCCCCTTTGAAATTACATTACCTAGATCACTTCTTCCCAGAGCCAACCCCTTTCAATCAGTAAATCCAAAAATCACGAATTTAATTCTATCCATTTTCAGCAAAAAGCCCATAAAGGGTTTCCAGGATTTGGTCAAAGTAATTGTCTTATCCCTGATCAAGCAAGTCAGCAAAAAGCACTTCCACGTCAAGGTGCTGAGAGGGAAAAACTAGTAGAAATGTGGCAACGATGAAGGAGTGTAGAACTAAACAAGATTTTCTTTTCTGCTGCTCGGTCTGAATTAACATTTCATTTCTGAATGGGGAAGGGTGGGATCTGACTGGAACAAGCAGGCGGCCCCACGGGCGAAATTGTTCTGCAGTCTGAGTTTGCCACGTAGGTGCCAGATTGGCGACAAATTTTGCATACACACACACACACACCTTATTTGCATTCACACACTAGCTGAGATTAGAATCCCTCTCTTCGTTAGCTGGTGTTTCGGGATATTGTGCAACCCCAGAAAATGGGGGAACGGAAGAAACAAAGTTTTTGGTTGAGCAGGTTGGGGGGGGTGTCACTCAACCCATGGGGGTTTATCCAACAGGCCACAATATGTGAACCAGGCTAAAAGGAAACCATCGTCACCCGGAAGATCTCACCGGCCGGAACGACGAGGCCAGACAATGTCTTTTCGGTTTCAAATACAGATGGGGAACTTTGGTTCATGCAACGGGAGAGGCGGACAAAAAACGGACAGGGCGAGCATTCTTCATGTATTTCGAAATTAACTTGTGGAACTCCCTGCCACAAGACAGGGGAGGGTGTTTTTCAAGGGCCTTGAAACAGGATGCAAATGATTCAGAGGATAAGATGAACGGAGGAAATAAGTCATTTAATTCAACCCCTTTTCCTGCAACAGATGCACCGTTCAAACTCTCTGGGGACCAAACCATCCAGGTCAGTTGCAGGGCAGAGTCCACACAACGCCCTAACCCAGTGTTTCTCCCCCTTGGCCACTTTAAGATAGGTGGACTTCAACTCCCAGAATCCCCCAGCCAG